CACATTCATTGCATTTTTATTTGGTTTTCCTGCTCCCCACATTTTGAGAATATATTTATTACTTTTCTCCCAGAATCCTTCACAAAAGCAGCACTCACCTCCAAACATTTTAGTCGTACGATTATCATATAAATTACTTTCACATTGAGAAGACAAGATCTCATCGTTGGCACAGTTTGGGCACAGATCCACTCTTTTTATAGTGAGGATGTGAACCTGCAAACCAATGCTACTCTCTATCAGGGCTGCACACACTTTTCAGGATGGACCCCAAAATAACCACGCAGCCGACCCGGTACTGCCACTGTCAAATAGAATGGACACCTGTAATAATTTCAAGTTTAAAAATCTGTAAAATCAGGTTTAATTGTAATTTCACTGAGTTGTGGTGAAGAAGAAGTTGAGTTGAAAGGCAAAGCTCTCAATTTACCAGCCAGTCTGTCTTCCTGCCCTCACCTTTTGTTATGAGCTTTTGAGTAATGACTGAAAGGACAAGATGGCAGATATAAGCAGTAGAAATGAGTTTAGAGATAGGGTGAAGAACGCAATCAAATGGGAGGAGTTTGGAGTAGAGCTGCTGCTCCTCCACGTCAAGAGGAGCAGCTGAGGCTCAGGCAATTTTTCAAATCCGTCCTGGACACCTCTCTATGTCTCTCATTTGGCCTGGGAATGCCTTGGGGTCCCATTGGAGGACCTGGAGTGTCTAGGGCAGGTTTCACCAAACTTTTTTCTCTGGGGGCCTCATTATCGCTCCTGAAAATGATGAGGAGGTCAGGTCGGTCGTATAACAGAATTGTATGACCCTGACGACGCAGATTATATTCTTTGAAAACCTCCACACTTTCTTTACATATCAGACAAACTGCACAAAAATATCAGACAAACTGCACGAAAATATCAGACAAACTGCACGAAAATATCAGACAAACTGCACGAAAATCGGTCGTCCACTGTTCTTACAAAACTCAGCACTCTGTCAAGTTTTCGTACTTTAACACTGCTGCCCATGTGACCTGGTTCTGGATAAGCAGGAGGAAAAAACAAAATGGATGTATTTCATTGAATAGTTCACGGTGATATTTGATTCCAACTCCACTTAAATATACCATTAGAGATTAGATTCGTTTAAAGGCTTTGTTCCTGATTTTTATTTCCATAAAAATGTAAAATACAGAAATTGTTTATTTGAACCCTTGCAGACCTTAGAGCAAGTTTAGTACATTTGTCCTCGCCTGGATTATTTTCTTAATTTTGCAAATAAAACTCCCCCTTTTACCCCTAATGAAGTGTTATATATCTTTTTTTTTTCAGTACAACCTGTTATTTCATAATCTGCATGCTCTAGTTGTGTTGTGTGTACAGCTGTAATAAAAGCTACAGGACCGGAAAAAAACGGAAAATAAAATTCACACTCTTTCATACAAAACACACAGCAAACATGTAACTTTTTGGAAATAAAAAATGTTATAAATGTTGTAACTTAGGGCCTTGCTACAAAAGCGCAAAATATCAAGTCTGTAAATAAACTAAAAATATCCTTATTGCCCTCAAAACAAAACAAAAAGTCCAATCGCTCCATGACTTTCCTGGTGTCAGTCATGGAAACAGCTCGTGTCAGGTCCAGGGCACAGAGCCACATCACTTCCTGCATTTTTATGGTGTTTATTACATTTGGGTTTGTACTTTTTGAGTAAAATTAACCTTAAAACAAGTGAAAAGATGGAAACATGTCCAGAACGGTGCAACTCTCAGCTTTTCAAGGGGAAAAAAGTAAGTTTCTCTCTTTAATAGTTAGAAAGTTATGCACGGTCTGGAAGAGTTAAACAGTTTGCAGTGGTTCAGACTTATTTTTCACTTCCCTTAACCTTTTCGCAGCTTATCCTATACATTTGCTTACCTCGCGACCCCCACTTTGAGAACCACCGGCCTGTATCAACACACCCTGCCTTACGTGACGATAGAATTAGTCAAACACACAAACACCGACGATTAGCTAATGAAGCGGAGCGGCTGTAACCCACGTTGATTAGACCACACAAACATGGCCGCTCCTTCACACAGTATTTACCTCCCCAGTCTTCCCTGAACCCTGCCTTTTCACATCAATTAAGTCTAGCTCACAAGTGCTTTGTTGGCGTGCCCACGGGGAGCTGTTGCCAAGAGCTTTTGATTTAATATCCGTCATGCACAAACAACCTAACGCAAAACAACACCAGCCCACTGCAGCTATGCGCCTGCAGGTTGCTGGAGGCTTCGCGGTGGGACACGGGGCAGTTTTGTTCTCCCCCGGGGTAAATTTCAGAGTGGGCGCTGTGGAGGGACAGAGAGGAGCACAGCAGGGAGAGAAAGAGAAAAATCTGTTAGCTTCATGGGGTTTGTGTGTGGATACAATGAGAGATGTGTGTGTGTGTGTGTGTGTGTGTGTCACTGTCACAAGACTGTTTTACACTCAAAGTTTGACTGACTTTGAAGGCCACCAAAGGGCAGGTTTCAAGTTTGAATACATTTGTTTTTTTGTGCTAAACATGAAGAAAACTACACTTCTCCAACCTACATCATTGGTTCTTGTCATCTGTCTGTCTCAGTCCATCAGTTTGGTTGTTTCCTGTCAGTCAGCAAGCACATCTCAAGGAGTTCATGTACAGTAAATGCACTCTCTCTGCTCTTCATTGTCATGTTATTTCAGCTACATGCCCAATCTCCTCCTCCTCCTCCTCTGCAGCAGCAGCAGCAGAACCATCAGCTATTTTATTCTCTTAAGGCTGTGCAATTAATCGAAGTTTGATCGCGTTTTTGATTTGTGTGATCTCCAAACTCATATAATCGAGTTGAAATGATTTATTAGGGTGCGCTCACACTGGAGCGAGGTACGTTGTAAAGTGTGAGCGCGATCAAACTGTGTCCAGGCGCTGCATGGTTGGGACTTTGGTTCGGTTGGAGGAGGTGGGCCAAAGCACGGCACAGTGGCTCATGCACACGCACACAAGGTTGGACAACTTCACTATACGAGCCCTGTGTGTGCGCTGGTGTTACTCGTACGATAAAAACAGTGAATAAACTCCTTTCTAAAATACACAGTGAATTCGCGCTTACCTTCAATAAGGACTGTAGAGACAAAAGTTTTGCAGCGTCATCTTCTCCTGTCCTCACATGTACACGCAAGGTTGGAAAACTTCACTATACGAGCCCTGTGTGTGCGTTGGTGTTACTCATGCAATAAAAACAAGTAATAAACTCTAAAAAACAAAGTGAATTCGCACTTACCTTCAATAAGGACTGTAGAGATCAAAGTTTTGCAGCGTCGTCTCCTGCTGTCCTCACATGTACGTGCACACAATGTTGGAAACTTCACTATACAAGCCCTGTGTGTGCACTGATGTTACTCATGTGATAAAAACAGTGAATAAACTCTAAAACACACACTGAATCTACTCTTACCTCAAATAATGACTGGAGAGACAAACGTTTTGCAGTGTCGTCTCCTCCTAGTCTCACTCCGTGCTGTTTTTATATCCATAAACTCACAGAGCAGCACGTATCACAGCACTTATTTTCTCTGCTAAAAGCGTTAGCTTTACTGCACAACATGTAAACAAACAGCGCCGTGTGATGATGTCATCAGCCGTGGCCTGGTCCGGTTGTGCACATGTGAGTGGAGAACATAGAACCCTACGCAACTGTAACTTGCACGGTTCTTAGTGTGAGTGAGTATTTATTTTATTTTTTACATATAGAAATGAACAGCTGGATATATCGTTTTGGATACGTTTACATATATTTATTTTCTATGCCTTATTTCATGTTCAATGTATATTTTATTCATTTTATGTTTTATACATTCACAAAAACTGCTCTAAGGTTCAGATTTGTAGCCTATATTTATTTTCAATTTGAAAGTTTTGCGTAAATTATCAGTAACCAAGTGTTTTTTGAGAGCTTAATGCTGAATAAATGCATGGTGTAACTAAAAAATAATAGTTTGAATAATCATGATTTCAATATTGACCAAAATAATCGTGATAATGATTTTTTCCATAATGGAGCCGCCCTACATCCTCTCCATCTTCTTCTCTTTCCCTGTACTGTCTAAATCCAGTGGAAGAGATATTTTTGATTCATGTTCTCTCTTTCTGGTATCAGGGTGTGTTTTTCTGTCTGTATAAGTTTCACAAGTTAGATTTAAATACACTTCCAGTTTTCACGCTTTGGAAATCAGGTACCTCAGCAGAAAATGGTGGGGGGTCGGCCTCATGCTGGTCTCCATGGAGATCATCTTGCTCTGTCTTGAATGTTCTACAGTTTGTCATTAAACTTATCTAGCGTGTATTTCATTACAGGGGTTTTAATTGCTCCAAACTTTAAAAATGTATTCTGATGATGCTCGCCTCCCCGCAGATTGGACCTGTAACTTGGCTTGGTGGAGATTGATGAATTTTAATGTCTTAGTGTGGAACATTCTTGGCAAAGCAGTGAATCTTTTTGTAATCATAGAGAGATTGCAAAATGACTGAAACATGAATGAATGACATATAGTAGCACAGCTTGGTAGAGTGTTTGTCCACTGACCTGAAGGTTGGCGGTTCAAATCCCACTCTCAACATGAACATCATTGGCTGAGTGGTCAGATCCACTGACCCACAGTTTGGCAGTGAAATACCAACTCTCACAGATGATCGCTGTCGTTGTGTCTTCACTTAACCCCCCTCGACCCCAGTGTCTGCGTACACTGGTGTGTGTGAATGGGTGAGTGGTTCCTTGATGTATAGTTCTTTGAGTGCCTTGAAGGTGGGAAAGAGCATTCTAAAAATTTTACTATTTGCCATTAAACCTCTTCAGTTGTTTTGATAAAAGAACAATGTTATAACATGGTGGTAGAAAGTTCCAAAAAGTGCATTTAGCTCAATACCCTCTCTTTAAGAAAAAATAAAAAAATCTTGACTAAATTAAAGGGGTTCTAAAATAACTCACTCGGTCCCTTCTTATCTGTCATGTGTGTGCAGAGTACTCCATAACTACATGCTGTGGCGTATCGTGGCCGCCCTCAGCGAGCACCTGTCCACAGCGTTCAGAAGCACCATCCATGAGTTCTCCAGAGAGATCGACGGGACAGAGCAGCAGCTGGAGCTCGGACGCCTCTGCCTCACTCAGGCCAACAAACACTTTGGAATGGCCCTGGGAGCGCTCTTTGTACAGCAGCACTTCTCATCGCAGAGCAAAGCCAAGGTGAGGCATGACACTAATGCTACTGCCAACTGTTAACTGCCACTATGGGCTTGAGGGAGTGAAAAGGCTGGGGTATTTTCTGCAGGCCCATGGCATTTACATTAATTCATTAATTAATCATTGCATTTATATAGCACCTTTCAAGATGTCCAAAATGCTTTACAGTTCATTGTTCATTCACTCAACAGTCAGCGTGAGGCTGCCAATCTGCACCATCGGCCCCTCTGACCACCACCAACACTCACACACCACTTTCTTACTAGGCAGTGTGGGTGAAGTGTCTTGCCTAAGGACACAACAACAGTTTTTGCCATTGGCGTCCCATTGTGGCACCTGGAATTTTCAGTGGTCTCCATTCCCAGTACTACCCAGGCCCGGCCCTGCTTAGCTTCTAAGATCTGATGGGATCAGGCTTTGTCAAGGTGGTATAGCTGCTACTACTTCTACTACTACAATATTACTACTACTACTACTACTACTACTACTACTACTACTACTACTACTACTACTACTACTACTACTACTACTACTACTACTACTACAATATTACTACTACTACTACTGCATTACTACTATTACTACTACTGCAATACTACTACTACGTGCATAGTCTATGTTGACGTGCGTCTAGGACATCCTGCGTTTGCGCGCCATGCCTCTAGGCATTAGAGCCAATCTGGCATCGACACAGTGTGTCTAAAGTGTTAAGGCGTTGGACATTCTGTTCATGTGTCCAAAGCGTCAGACGCCAGAGGTGAAAAAACTGAACTTTTCCTCAAATGCAAACATGTCCAAATATAAATGCCTGGGGCCTAGGACAACAGGCCCCTTTATCCACCCCGTTGGCTCCCCTGATTTTGTGTATGCAGACTTTATTGTGCCCATATTGTGCCAATTTGTTCACACTTGCATACAGCATGTCAACATTGGGACTCATCTGAGACTGAACCCAGAGCTAAACAGAAGGGTTGTGAGCTAAGCCTTTATTATTGGTCATGTGTCCATTAATGATATTGAATGATTGACAAATTATGACACCGTATTTTTATAATATTGAAAACAGTATATTTAGTGACATTTTCTCATATCACACAATCAAATATTAAAATAAAAATAATAATAATAATAAACCTGACTTAACAAGCTTTTATTATGGTCGAAATAAATACAGGTGTTCCATGATATTCTTAGGCCTCTGATTCTCTTCTAATGTTTCACAAATGAACAGCCAGAATTAGGAGCAGTTAATTTGGGACAGGTTTTGCTAATCTCCTTTGGGGAGAAAAAAAATTACACCTTTCGCTCATTGACAACAATTGAGGAGAATCAGGGGACTCAGAATTTCCTGGAACATCAGCATCAATTCTGTTCCACAGCGGGGGTCCTGAATCATGTTCATGTTATTTTCGAGGTCCCATGTGCTCAAAAGCCCCCCTCCTGTAAGCAATTCAGATTTGTTTTGAGAATCTCTCAAAATGATTTGCTTGGTCAGTATCTGCTGCTCAAATCTCTGAAGAAGGTGTCAAAATTGATCATTTGCAATGATACCACACTGGGGGTGTTCTACATGTATCTCTACAGTGCAATGTTCCTTTGTTACCATGGAGACAATGGGCAGATTAACAAACACTGTCAAAAAAGGTAAGGTTTGAAAACTTAAGAAAAAATACAAAATGTTAAATGAGATTAAACATTCTAGATAAAGCAATAACATTTCCATGGAGACATCAAATTGCGGACCCTCCTCTAGAAATGTTACACGGTGCACCTTTAACTGAACTAACCCTAAATCCAAAGGGAGGATGGTAGTCTGCAGCTGTGTGATTGCCGTGCATGTGATGAGCGGTAACTGTCAGCTATCAGAGCTCATGTAATCACAGGCTAAACCAGGTGCACAGTTTTAACCACAATTTGATGTAAATTGCTTTAATTCTGGGCAAAAATGTCAAAAAAAAAGTCAACGCACAACCATGAACAAAGCACAAAACAAAAAAAATCTGCAGCCTTTAAATGACAAAATATTGTTATTATTTACAAACAGAGAGTTTCTCAATATTTTCAGAATATTTGATAAATCATTTATCATATTTTGCGGAGTATAAGTCGCACCGGACTGTAAGTCGCACATTTTGGGGGAAATTTATTTTATAAAATCAGAGACCAGGAACCATATTTCATCTTGAAAGGCAAATTATCATCATAACAATAACAATTCTTCATCCCTTGTGTCACTTTTGAGCAACTTCATGACCTCCGGAGGTAAACAGAGCTCCGCTTCCTCTTCTGTGCAGCTGTCGTCAGACTCAGCATCAGTTGTAGTTAGAATTATTCCGGCCTTTCTGAATCCAGACAGGATGGTTTCTGTAATCACTGAGGTTTATGCTTTGTCGATCCATCCAGTGACTTCCAGAAAAGTTGCATGCTGCACCCTCCCGGTGTCACAAGTTTCTCACTCCAAACTTTGTTTCTGCTGCTCGATTACCATTTTGGGCTGCAAATTTTGCTACTTGCAGCTTTTAATCTGCAAAATATGATTTTCTTTTTGGGGGGCATTTGTGTTCAATCTTCTCAGTCGTCTTTATAAGTTTGTTTAAATGTTAAATTTTCAGTGGTGCAGAAGAAATGGTGCGATCGACTGACATGATACAGACAGGACAGAGGCTTTTTCTGCAGGAGACATGTGCAGTAGAGTGAAGTGACACTTGTACAGGAGTAACAGGAGTAGCAGATACTGACACACAAGACTACAGCGCCCTCTCACAGCTGTCTGTGTGAAAATTTTAATATGAGTCGCCCCAGAGTATAAGTCACAGGAAACACCCAAACCATGAACAAAAGTGTGACTTACAGTCCAAAAAATACAGTACACAGTCTTGCTGACAGATCATAAACTCTCTCTTTCCTCTTTCCATTCTCGTCCATACACTACTGCAAATTATTATTAAGGAGGGGACATTTGACTTCTATAGGGTATTTATTGCTGACACGGTGACAGTAGCTCAGTTGGTAAGAGCTTTTGTCCGCTGATCTGAAAGTTAACGGTTTGAATCTCGCTCTCGACATAAACATCATTGGTTGACCAGTGAGATCCACTGACCCACAGGTTGGCTGGTGTGATTCCAGCTCCCACAAATTAATGCTGTTGTTGTGTCCTTGGGAAAAACACTTAACCCACCTCGCCCCTAGGGTCTGCGTACTCTGGTGTATGAATATGTGAATGGGTGAATGGTTCCTTGCTGTAAAGTGCTTTGAGTGCCTTAAAGGTGGAAAAGCGCTGTATAAAAATGTGACCTTGCATTTAGCATTTACCAACACATAATGTATTGTGTTTAGATCACTATATTACCTTTTACTGTCTGAGTGTCCTCTCCCTTTGCTTCTCACGTTAAGTCACTCCCCCTTCAGAGCACTATCCCAACACAATCAGCGTGTGTCCCACTAATGAAATGACTACACATCACATCAGGTTTGTCAAGCTGCTGTGTACAGTGCATGCATGTGTGACATCTAAAACCTCTTCAGGGAAGTTTTTGATGAAGAAACAACATTATAACATGGTAGAATGCTAAAACTAAAAATCAGTCAGTCTACACTTTGTGGGAACTTTATCATGTCCGTTGCTTCACATGGTAAAAAGATATGTAGCAAACACCAAGTCCATTTTGAAAACAGATTTGGCTTTTGACTTTATCTCTAATACATCTAACATGAGCTGCTCCTCTCATCTCATTTCTAATCCTGCCCATCCTCTGCTCTGCTCCCACAAATTCCACCATTGTGCATCCAAACAGACTCTGTGTTACTGAAATAAGCACCGGGGATTCTGAGCTGTTGCCCAGGACGATGCTGTGTGTGGTTTTAGACTGGTCATGTCAATCAGATTTATACATTTAAACAGTTTATCTTTGTAAAAATTACCTCGCAACATAAATAATAAGGGTCGGTATTGATACTTTGGAAATAATGTTATGATCATTGCATGGGGGGGTAATGCTAACTGCAAGCACTGCTCTATTTGAAGCTCTGTTAGACTTAATACGATCTTTATTTTAACTATTTGAATACTCGTCACCAGATTTGATAATACAATGATAATTAAAAACACCATTCTGTTTAAACAATATAATGTAATTTTCAAGACAAATTAAAAGTAGTTTCTCAGTCTATCTGTTGGTAGTCCTATGTGGTAGTAGAGGTCCAAAATAGACCAAGATCCTTCCAAAACCGCTCAAGAAAGATCCAGTTTGATCCTTTTCAGAGCCTTGTTCGTGGTCAATTTCAATACTAGTTTTAGTATCAGTATGTGGACTTTTTTTTTGTTTTGACAACCTTATTATCTAAGTAGGAATAGAAAAGTGACCTAGCCTTATACTCTAGGTGCATTGTGTAACTATTCTGGTGGAGCATCTGTCAAATGCTTTTCTCTATGGAGATGTTAATGCATCATCTAGAATGCATCACAGTGTAGTATTCAACCTCTCTATCTTAGACTTAGCCTTAGACAAACTTTATTAATCCACAAGGGAAATGATTTGGACAAAGGAGTTCACACATCACAATATAGTATAATAACAAAAAGAAAAAATATTAATTCTAAATAAGAAGCAAAAAAGATAACAAGAGACAGGTGTCAAATAAGACATAATTATATAAATGTAAATGTACAAGACAAAACAACTCAACTCAAGCTCATCTTTGCATTAACTCTGTTAACCGTACGATAACCACAACCATGAGCTCTTCTAGCAGAGGAAGTCTGGGAGGTTCTTTATTTTAATAGATCCATGTTCCTCACCAGCGTAAGGAGCTATGAGGTATCCCACAATCCACTGCACAGATCAAATCCAACATTTCCAAATACTATCATACAAGTTCTGCTGCAGCAGATTATTAATTAAAATCTTCTGCATAAATAAACTTTGCATTACTAAACTTTACAACACATAAACCCTAATCACTATAGAGTCACATTAGCTCATTTGAGATTATAATGTGTTTAA